CGGGTAGCCCTCCTGGGATGCAGGCTGACGGGGGGATGGGCAGTCCCCCAGGGATGCAGGCTGACGGGCAGTCCCCCCCGGGATGCAGGCTGACAGGCAGCCCTCCTGGGATGCAGGCTGACGGGCAGCCCTCCTGGAGCACCTTCACACAGATGGAAGGAGAAAACTTGCTGGAGGAAGCACGATGGTATAAACCTTCCCTGGCTGAAACAAATCCCTTGCCAAAGTTGGTATCAGTGGAGGCAGAAGTGGATTCCTCTCAAAGGAAATAATAGCAGCCGGCATGGTGGCTCACGCCTGTAATCCCCGCAGTCTGGGAGGCTGAGGCTGGTGGAATGCCTGAGCTCAGGAATTGGAGACCAACCTGAGCCAGAGCTAGACCCCGTTTCTACTAAAAATAGAAAAAACAGCCAAGCATTGTGGTGGACACCTATAGTCCCAGCTACTCAGAAGGCTGAGGCAGGAGGATGGCTTGAGCCCAAGAGTTTGAGGTTGCTGTGAGCTATGATGCCATAGCATTCTACCCAGGGCAACAAAATCACTGTCTTAAAAAGAGAAGGGAAATAATGCGAGGTGCCACATGCAGGACTGCACTGCCCTCCAGGATGGGGAATGGACAGCTGGGTCCAAGTGCCATGATCTTCATACTGCGTGTGGGAGGGGAAGCGGAGCTCAGGGTCTGCACTGCAGGGGTTGGCTCAGGTACTTTCCTGGCTCACTTGGAGTCAATGCTTGGACTTCTGGCCCTCCCTTCCCCCTCCTCAACCTTCCCTTGGCTCTCCCCAAATGACCTTGACATGGCCATGTTCCTGGCAATTTCCCAGGTGCAGAGCAGCCAGGGCAGAGCTACTTATAACAAGTATTTCTGAGCATGTAGTGGGGTAAAGCGCTTTTCTCTTGGGGTCTGGTAGTCAGTTGTTGCAGGGTAATGGGAGAAAGGGACAGGAAAGGGGTCAGCTCTGCAGGGAAGGAGGGTGAAGTGTGGGAATGTGGTGAGCCTGTCCTGCCACCTGGGGTTCTTACAGCCTTTGGTCCACTAGAAATTGATCTCTTGTGTATTCAGACCAACTACTCCGGGTTTTGTGAGCTGAAAACCAACTCATTGAGATGCTTTCACACTGTCCGTCAGCTCCCTGATTATTCTGTGTGTGGCTAATAGGAGACCAGACCTTTCAGAAGCCCATCAGAATAGGCAGCTTCTAAAAACAAACAAACAAATAAAAGGAATAGGCAGCTTCTGCTGATGAGGGTTTACTGGTAGGAGGTGGGAGCCAGGGAGCCTCTCGGGGGGACTGGGCAGTCCCTTGTCGGAGTTTGTGCCCAAGCCATCTCCTGGGCTTTGTCAGAAAAAGAAGGGTCAGCAAAGTTGGACACCACCACCCTGTATTTAGACTGAGTGTTAGAAAGACACAAACCCGCACCTGGACAGTCCCTGGGTCCTTGGTGGTGTCAGCACAGCCGGGGATAGAGCAAACCACAGACTGGCGCTGGCAGAGGCCTAGA